AGTTCACTTAAAGTAAAACGTTAAGTTGAACTGATTCCAAAATACATGATATTTATATAAAAAATAAATTATAAAAATGTTCGTAATACGGAAAGTTATAGAAGTTTTTGATTACTAATTATTCTAATTTTATTCTACTAGCTTCTTCATCTTTCTTAACCAAAGATCTTTATATATTTTTAATTTTAGTTCGATATTAAAGTGGTATTCGAAATCTTCTTCAGGTATTTCTTCCCCAAAGACTTCCTGATATTCTTTTTTGAAGATTTTTAATTCTTTTATTTTCTGTCTCAATTTTCTGGTTTCTTCATTTTCTAATTTCTTGAGATTGTTTATTCTTTTCATTTTTTCATCTTTAGATAAATATTTAACTGATTTTCTTTCTCCAATATTTTTTCTTGTCATTTTTTATTATCATTATTCTTTGTTATTATTTTTATTATATTATTTATTTTGTTTTTTGAAGTGAATCCTTTTTCTCTCCTTTTTATATCTGTTTTTTGATTAGTAATTCTAATCATTAACTAAGCCTCTTTATCTTTTCTAGGTATTCTTCATATATTTGTGTTGCAAATATTTTCTCACATGATCTGCACACAATTCTATCTAAGATCTGCATATAATGTAAATCCTTCAAGGGTCTTGAACACTGTTCCCTTTCACAGTGATATTTGTATTTCTTTTGCTGTTCTGGGTCTGTTATACTTAACCACTCAAAATGTCTTATTCTAGCATTCTCAATAGTTTTATTTGAAATATTTTTATTTCTGATCAAATAACTTCTTATTTTCTTTTCATGTTTTCTTGTTATTCTTTGAGCAAATTCTAATGCTTCATATTCGTAATTTTTTCTTTTAATCTTTTCTCTTTCTATTTTTTGAAGAAATTCCAATTTTTTCTCTTCCTTCCTTTGTATATTCCTGTAACAATTATTACAGATTTTGTGTGAGTGATGATCTTTTAAATCTTTCTCGTATGATATTTCTTTACAATTTTCCAATCTGCAATGATGTCCCGCAATGTGATGATATTCTATTAAGTCATTCTCCATTTTACATTCTTCACATTTTCCTAGTCAATCAGATTTATAACTATTATTCTGTTGGTATTCATTTTCCTCAAAATTCTTTTTGAACGAAAATTCTTTTCCTAAATCATTAATTATTCTTTGATTTTTACAATCCCTTTCTAAATGTCCTTTTCTATCACAAATTCCACATATTCTTTCTGGACAAAATCTTTTAATATGTCCCTTTTTTCTACATATTTCACATTCTACTTCTGGACAATCTTGAAAGTAATGTCCCTCCTTATTACAGTTTGAGCAAGTATTTCTTTTTCTTTCTATTAAACGAGTTTTGTTGTTTTCTTGAGGATTTCCTTCTCTAAATTCTTTCCATTCTTTTTCATATCTCCTATTCTCTGGATATAACTCTTTTCATTGGTCAACTTCTTCTGGATAAAATTTTTCCTGATGACTTTGTTGATTAATTTCTTCTGGGTAGAATCTTTCTTGTTGTCTTGTATTAAGTTCTCCTAATCTTTGTGAAATATGGTTTTCTTTTTTGTGTTCTTTTATAGTGATCATTCCCAATCTTGTTTCTAATTTATTCTTTCTTCTGATTTTTTCTTCTATTTCTTTTTCCAATTCACTGATTTCTATTTGGATTTTTTCTTTTTCCTCTTTTTCTTTTTGTTTTTTGATATTTTTTAGAATTTTCTGATATTCTTCGAAGTTTTCTAGAATTTTTTGTTGTTCTTCTTCAGTGATAATAGGACTAGTAATTTGACTATTTTGTTGACTCATTTTTATATATTATT